TATTCTCTCTGAAACACGCAGGCAGTTTGAGAAAATATTTGCTCTAGGAATACATACGCAACAGTGACAAAAGCTGAAAGGAATACATGAATGCGTTGATTTAAGGATTTCTTACAGCCCACTAGGTTCTCTCTTCAACTGCAGCCTCCTGCCTTCATCTTTCACACCTTAAGCACAAGAGAGATTTCTCAAACCAGCAGTATAATTTTCAAAAAAAAAAAAAAAAACCACCAAAAATTTACTATTCACTTAGCCCTAGTGGCAATACGCTAGAATGCACACTGTGTTGATTTGTTTAGCCTGCACAAACTTCTTTTCCAGCATCCCCATGTGGATTTAGTGCTGACTTTACACAAATTTCACTCCAGGTGAGCTTGACCATTTTCCTGCAGTTTAAGGTGTGAAACTGCAGATATGTTCACTCTTCATTACAGAGCTAACTGCTGTGGTTGTGGTTTAACTCCAGCAGGCAGCTCGATAGCACGCAGCTGCTCAATGAGTCCCTGCAGCAAGATGGAGGAGAGAATCAGAAAAGTAAAAAGTGCAAGAACTCATGGGCTGAGATAAAGACAGTATAATAAGTAATAAATAAATGCACAAGTAAACTACAAAAAAATACATCTGCTCTCCACCAGTGGTCCAGTGCCCAGCCAGTCCCCAAGCATCAGTAACCCCACATTTTATCGTGGAGCATGACACTATACGAATGGGACATCCCTTTGGTCACTTTGGATCGGCTGTCCTGGCTGTGGTCCCTTTGAGCTCCTTGTGTACCCTCAGCTTTCTCACTGACACAGAAGCTGAGAAGGGCTTGATGCTGTGAGCACTCCTCTGTAGCAGCTACGCCATGGATGTATTACCATTGCTGCTTTTATCACTAACTCAAACCACAGTGCCACTAAAGCGACTAGAAAGAAAATTAACTCTGCAGCAGCCAAACAGTTGTACATCAGAGCAACACTGAACTGATTAAATTCACTGTAAGAGATTACTGTGCTCTTCAGTAAAACTACATGTCTAGGTGGAAAACTAGTTACACTGCCATGGTGCCTTTCTGCACAGAATCATAGAATCACTAAGGTTGGAAAAGACCTCGAATATCATCAAGTCCAACTATGACCTAACCATCCTACCCTAACTAACAACCTTCCACTGAATCATGATCCTGAGCACCACATCCAAACGTATTTTAAACACACCCAGGGATGGTGGCTCAACCATCTCCCTGGGAAGCCTATTTCAGTCCTTAACAACCCTTTCTGTAAACAAATGTTTCCTGTTATCCAACCTAAGTTTACTCTAGTGCAACTTGAGGTCATTTCCCTTTGTGCGAGAAGAGACCAACCCCTCTCTGCTGTAAGCACCTTTCAGGTATTAGAAGAGAGCAGTAAGGTCTCCCCTCAGCCTCCTTTTCCTCAAACTAAACAGCCTCAGTTCCTACAGTCTCTCCTCATAGGGCACGTTCTCCAAGTCCTTCACAAGCCTTGTTGCCCTTCTTTGGACCTGCTCCGGCATCTCAATGTCCCTTCTGTACTGAGGAGTCAAAAACTGAACACAGTACTCAAGGTGAGGGCTCACCAATGCTGAGTATAGGGGCACGATGACTTCCCTATCCTGCTCTCCACACCATACATGCATACAGCAGAAAGCAAAAGAAAACTGTCTTCAAAAAATTAAGCTATTTTCTAAAAATAAATAAATAAATAATCCACAAAAAAAACACCACTGATTTCTGACACCTGAAAATTTTAACAACAAATGCCATGCAGTCTTTCGTCTTCAATCTACTAAATGTCAACTAAATGTGTTGGCTCTCAGAAAAGTGCTTGGAAATGTTCCCCTGCTTTGAAAGAGCCATTTGGCTTAAGGGACTATTTGCAGACAATAGGATTTCTTCCTGGTATTTGAAGTAGCAGCTGCCAGATATTGGCAAATATCTTACTGTTGTTGTTGCTTTAAAGAAATTTCCTCATTTGGGGAAAAGACCACTCTTAGCTGCTGCACATAATCTTTTAGCTAATGGTAATCATTCAACTTCTTAAAAAAATATATATATATACATATATATATATATATGTATGTATGTATGATATAACATTAATTACAACTTCTTGGTTCACTGGCATAATCAAACAAGAAAATCTTCCCAGATTATCAAATATATACTTTCTTTTTTTTTTGGGGGGGGGGGGGGGGCGGGTGGGGGGGAAAAATAGAATGAGGCAGGAAAGACCAACAGACTGGTGGGAAGATAAAGAAACAATATCATTGCTCACCATCTGTACAGATGAAGGAGTCAGAAAGCCACAATCAGTTTCAAAACAGACATGTTGTAAAACTGCAACCAGCTCTCTCTATGCCAAGTCCAATGTTTGAGTCCAACAGAGGACTTGACAAAGGGCATTGAAGGTCTGCAGTGGTGACTTTTACCTACAAGCATTAATTTTGCCTTTTGGACTACTATCCTCAAAGAAGACAGACATCACAGTGAAATCATCGATTCACATATGGAATATATGGGTTTCGATATACTCTGTAAAAAGAGTAATCACAGGATATATTTCCAGCTTTGCACTGAGCATCGTTTTCTTTCCTTCAAGCCCAGAGCAATACAGTTTCTGGAAATACAAAGTGTAAATCACTTGCTGACTGCTTGTACAGCTGTTCATCTGTGTAGATTATGAAAAACTGAAGATCTGTCCAGAATGAAGTATATGTGTATATTGCACTGGTTCCCAGGGACTTACACATCTCACAACATGAATGACATTTCTTTTAAAAAAATAATAATATTTTAAGCAGTCACGCCTATCCAGAAGAAATTATTCAGAATGAATATTCAAAAATCAACATAAATAGGACACTACTGCTTTTTACAGTTCTGTCTAATGACTCCCCACAAAGAAGCATTTTCATACTAAGTCTGTCTCCTGCATCTTCATACAGCACCTTTTGTTTGTACCAGTTTTAGGATTAACAAATGTGATTGTTCTGAGGGACCTACAGTAACATAGGATAAGCATAGGGACATCTAGCTCATAGGAGAATGAAATAAAATTAAAGAACCATAAGAGAGGACTTCTAAGACTAACTCCCATAGATTTTTTTTTCTTTTCTTAATTATTACGTTCTTCACACACTAAGAACAGAAGGAGAAATGAATGACCCAGCCATTCAGCATAGTGGAAAGGAGGCAAGGACATCTATATTAGAAATCCTCTTTAACCACATTGAAATTGCCCATTTTTTTTTTCCACTAGCAAGTGGAAAAGCAGCATTTCCACTCTTTGAGCTCAGAACCTGTTGTAAGGAACAAGAAGTGATCCAAGAAGAAAAATATCCCCCTTAAATAAGGTATTGGTAAGAGAGCACCACACTCAGTCCACTCTTCCACCATGTTTTTCCTCAAGAAACTCAATTTCCTTCTATTCCTATCACTGTCATTTTCATTGTCTCTGTAGTGGTACAGCAATAGTCTTGTTTCAAAAAGCACTTATGTGTCGGGGTACCCCAAAGCCATACAAACCCTATTACAGGAAGAAATAATTTCACTACCCCATGCATCTCACGTCAAGCAAAATAAAGGAGGGATCATTCTTTGTGTTACTCAAAGACACAGCTGTTCACCTCTTTTGGAAGATTCCTTTCTGTAAAGATTTGCTCACTGCTAATTGAGTAACTACTTCCTTCATTTAAATCAAGTCTGTTTGGTTCTTATTTGAAGCCCCACAGTATATTTCAACATTTAGTTCCCACATAGTATGTACAGACATAGCCTCTGATATTGTCTTGTGATCTGGAGTCTGAAACTTGTTATAAAATACTTGCCATTTTTTATAGTATTTGAAAGTGATAATGATTTAGCTGACAACTACTGAGAGCACAAAGGGAACTATCCAAAGCACTAGCTTCCAGGAGTCAAAAGCTTCCCTCGTTCCCAGCCTTGTTAGAGCTTGGGAATTACTTACAGTAACAGATACAGATGCTGCCTCCATGTACCATCCCACCCAGCCGAGAGGCTGATAGCATTTCTTGGATACACATGTACAAGCACACACAAAACCACAAAGTCCAGCATCACCAGCCTTTGCACACATCTCTCTAGACACCAGCATTACTTATACAGGAGAGAACACAGACAACCCCTACACAGCAGCATTTGCCCCTTTCAGCACAAATAGAATAGATGAATATCTGAAAAAAAAAAAAAAAAAACAATCATAAAAAAATAGAGGGCAAGATTAGGTTTAGGTAAGAAGGTAAGACAGTCTCACATACCTAAATGAAAAAGCAACGTATTGCTCCTCTCAGTCAAGCATATGTAAGGCCTCCACATAACTTCTTACAGAGTAGAATTGACTTATTCCTAGTTTTAACACAAAATAAACACAAATGTTCTTTTTTCTCTTCATTAATTTCAGCATGTGTAAACTCAGTTCCTGAGCTGCTATGAAGGCAGTAAGAAGAAATACAACAGAAGACACTTATTTTGTGGCCAGCAACTATATCTTCTGTATTTAGTTTGTACCCTCATGCCACTTCAGGAAACACTATTTATTTTTTCTGAAAGTTAGTGTTAGAGCTTTGAGAAATACCAAAGGATTAGCTGCACCCTTGTAAGTGGAAGAATCTGCTTTTTAATTGCACTTCAAAAATCTCACCCCGTATGACTAATTCCAAAGTTCAGGTCACAACTTTACAACATTCTCTTACATTCCCAAGAAAATGATGCCTCTACCTTACAATCACCCACTTGCAATAGTTTCAGTACATACTGAGATTCCCCTCACACTTCCTGCTGGGATTTCCAGCAATGAAGTTTTTCAGATGTTGAACAGGAACTGAGGGTGAAGACTGATCTAGCATTGCAACATTAAATAAGAAAAAACAATGACCAACTGGTTTGATTTATATGCAAACATACATCACAAAAGTTTCTTTCAGTGCAGTCACAGCACAAGAGAGATTCAAGGAAAACAATGCTGCCACTGCCTGCTGACCTATGAGAAGACAGATGATTCCAGAAATCGTAAGTCATAGAAAGGCTGATGGCTCATGAGGATGCCATTGCTTGCTCCAGCCAACAGCTCTAGGACACTGAGCACAACACAACAAGAAAACAAAAACTTCATTCCATAATGCAACTGGTCTTGCAGTTTCCTCAGGCAGCCCTCCTGGAATAGCTGATCCAGCTGGTTTAAGTCACCCCCACAGTCAACATATTTTTTACAACAGCTTCTAGGAATATGAGATTTTTTGGATGGAAAATGCCAAGAAGCAGCTGATGCCTTTAGCCAGTCTGTATAGTTTTGAAGCCCACAGCACTGGAGCTTTTTCTGGAGCATATCCACAGTCCTGCTTCCACGAGCCAGGGAATTTGTGCCATTGTATTGATTGAAGGCTTGTCCCATTGTGTTCTTCAGCTCAACTGCCATCCAAATAGAGTAGAACTGTGTCAAAACCGCTAAAGACACCTGGAGACAAAGAAGAACTAGCAGCAGGTGCATTAGAGTCCCTTGGTGATAACGGGAGTTCCTTACAGAAACAGAAATAGCCAAAATACCAGTAGGTAGCAGGACTAACGCAGCTACAACAGCCAGCCAGCCAGGGAGAGGAAAGAAAGACTCATGAAAAAAATGATGATAGTTCTTGCACAACAGGATCACAAAGCATCCACCAAAGGTCAGAACTGTTGCACTTGCCCAGAAAACGACACCAAGGAACAACAGTAGAATGCGAGCAAAATTTCTGAGTAAAGAGTCCTCGGAGATCCACAGAGACACGCGTGCATTCCTTACTCTCCACATCTTGCTCAGACCTAGCAGCTTACCCCTCACCACCACCATTTGAAAGGCCTCCACCTCACTTCAGCAGGTGCCTCAGATGACATCTCCACCCAAAAACAGCTTGCAAGAGAGCAGGCCTGATAGGCTTCCTTGGTGCAAAGATTAAGTTCTGAAGCAGCTATCTGTGTGTTATTACTTGTTCAGCATAGTCTGTAGATACAAGGTGGGACTGACTGCCTAGCTTGCTGTTGAGAGGACATGTACTCTGCTATTTTTGGATGTAATTTCACTGAAGGGGAAGAGTGGTTGAAAAAAAGAGCTGAACTTTTTGTTTTATTACATTTATGTGTTAAACATCTGAAAATAGGTAAACAACCAAGGATGTGGCCAACAGTGCTGGGTCAGATCACTTAGACTACCCAAGTGATAGAGCAGATTCAACTGTAAATCCTTATAGCAGTATCCAAAATGGCAACAAATGCACAAGTCAGAGTCATTAAGGAAATAATTATTTAAGCAGAGCTATTCAATCAAGGATCTCTGTAGGTAACATGTACGCAGACTCATTATCCTTCCCAGTACGTTTACCACTCATTAGATTTGATGAGGGGCATAATGATGTTAATAATATTTTGCCCTTTTTTACTCAGCAAGATTTCTGCACAGATAGCATCAATTACTCAAGACACCTGGATGAGAAATCCCTACTTCTGCATTTGCATGCTCTCAGTTTGCGTCACCAGTGATTGAACTGAGTGCTGTAATGACTGAATACAATCAACAGTAAGAACTGTATTAACTTTTCCTTATGTGCAAAGAAACTGAATTACACACAGGCTAAATGACTTCACAACAATCACAGAGGGAATCAACGTCACTTAGCCAGCAGAAGAGTATTATTTCTCAAAAGTTATACAGAAGAGAGAAGCAGGATGAGGAGCCAGTATAAAGCTTGCCACAGATGCCAGGAACGTATATCTAAGGCCAAAAAATGTCTCCCTAATTTTCCTGAGGAAAAAAAGAAAAAAAAAAAAAAAAAGATGGCATTTCCATTTTCTTTCTCAAGATGCAGAACAGGGCTTGTGCAATAGGCTTGCATAAGGGAGAATGCAGACAGAACTCATTTTCAGAAATGGGAGCAACTGAAGAAGACCAGAGTTGGTATTTGAATATCTGTAACTATGAAAAGTCTTACAAAACTTGATGAGTGTACATCCAGAAGATGGTTCGTTTGTAAGGACCTGTTGCTGTTCTGTATGCTACGTATATGCCCATCTTGTACTGATCCCCATGAAAATGTCTTTTCGTGTGCTGTCAAACATGTCATTATTTTGGAATTAGATAACGATACTCCCTGAAAGACAATGACCACCTTTGTCTGAGAAGAGGCAAAGAGAAACAATTTCCCCTCACATTTATTTATTCTCCTATGAAGAAAGGTTGAGGGAACTGGGCTTGTTTAGCTTGGAGAAGAGAAGGTTCTGGGGAGACCTCTTTGTGGCCTTCCGATAATTGAAGGGAGCATATAAACAGGAGGAGGAATGGCTGTTTATGAAGGTGGATAGTGGTAGGACAAGAGAGAATGGTTTAAACTGAGACAGGGTAGCTTTAGGTTAGACATTATGAGGAAATTTTTCACACAAAGGGTGGTGATGCACTGGAACAGGCTGCCCAAGGAGGTTGTAGATGCCCCATCCCTGGAGACATTCAAGGCCAGGCTGGATATGGCTCTGGGCAGCCTGGGCTGCTGGTTGGTGACCCTGCATGTAGCAGGGGTGTTGAAACTAGATGGTCTTTGAGGTCCTTTTCAACCCAGGCCATTCTATGATTCTGTGATTTATACATAAAGACAACACAAACTGAATGTTTTCACAGACCAGAAGAAACATCAGAAAAGAGACAGAAAAACATGGTGGAGAATAAGAGCTTCTTACTGCTAGCTCACAAGCTTTGAGGAAAGAGCACACAAACCTGCTTATTCTCTTTTCTGCCTTGCCTCATGCTTATAAAACTTAATGAGATATTAAGAACTGAGTTACAACACTATTTACTTCTAGCTTATTCTGCAGTCTCTGAAATACATTAGAAAGGCTCAGACTGCCTATAGGATAATTTTACTGCACCTCTTGTTCATTTCATCCAGAGTAACTGCCGGCCTTCTCTCCATACAGACGAGAGAATTATAACGCTTATTGAAGCCTAGAGGCTCTTATCTTTCTAAATATTCCTCAATATATAATTTCCTATTTACTTGAATATGACTCTTTGGACTACTGTGAGGTTTTTTATTTCTTTCTTTGCAGATTGCAGACACAAGATGGTGTGAGCAGTGAAGTGGACCTTCAGGACAGGAGTCTGTGCCGCTACAGGCTCTCCTCCATCCTCTGGTTATCTCCACCATTCCATGAGCCAGAATGTTGGTGGCAACGTGGGCAGACAGAAGGAGGATCCGCCATGTCAACTAGAAATGCCTGCACTGGATGTCCACTGTCAAGGGGAGAGTCCTCAATGCCCAATGCCAGTATAAGAGGGGAGGCCTCACTCTGGCTGCAGCTCCTCACAGGGAATGGAAGGCAGCATAAAACTCTGCTGTCTGGGGACACAAAGAGGGCCAGAGGATACTGCATGGAGCTGTGTCAGAGCAGAGTAAGGGGGAGTTAGGGAAAGGCTTTGCCCCAGAGGGTGGAGGGCATGGAACAGCTCTGCAGGGCAGTGGGTAATGCCATGAGCTGCCGGAGTTCAAGAAACATGTGGACATAGCTCTCAAATATAACATTTGGATTTGGAATGGTTCTGTATGAAGGCAGGAGTTGGACTCCATGACCCTTCTGAGTGTTTTCCAACTAAGGATATACTATTATCAGAAGTTCATTTCTGCTTAGAAATTTTGTCTGCATTTGCAGCTAAAATTTTGGCTAAAGTAGAGGAGAGAGACTGCAACATGACAAAGAGACTGTGTGTGAGGCAGTTAGGAGAGCTCCTCTGTATTCTTTCCAGTGATAAACAATATAACATGATAAATATCATTCCTGCTTTCTCTGGAGTTTTTTTCTGCTTACAAACTGATGAATATTGAAATTCAAACGTGGGTTTAATAGAGAAACTACTTTGTGGTTTGTTGCTGTAAGTATAATTTTTCAAATAAATAAAAAGTCAACTGTGTACTCTTTGAATTCATCGACTAATTGTTCTAGAAAAACATGACTGATATTGAAAAGTTCAGACAAGCTAGGAAGATCAAAGCAATTTGTCCCACGTGGGCCTGGGATCCAAGAGCTATCAAGTCAACAGTGTGGTTGTACAAATGCAGTGCAGGCAGGTGACTAGCATCATAGAATATCCCAACCCATAAGGATCATCAAGTCTGTTGAGGTCCTCAAGTGAGGACATATAAACTTCTGTTGCAATGTTCAAATCAAGATGAGCAGCAAGTCCATGCAGATGTGCAATAAAAAGAAACCTGGAGGCAAACATGGGAGTCAAGGCACCAGTAGACATGCTCTTCTAATTTTCATGCAAATCCCCAAAAAAAGAGACAGGATCTTAAAATCAGACCCTCATCCACTGCACACTTTGTCACAGCAACAGAGAAAAGCCCTAAAACTGCTTCAGAGAAACAGCTGGCATTTCCCATGGAACCCACTTTCACATGAAGGTGTTGTTACCTTGACCCTGTGATGAAGTTAAATTACTCTCAAAGAAGTTTATCCTTAGAGATTACAACATTTTTTTAAGATCTTGTTATATTAAAGCATGTTCATTTCTAAGCCCTGTCTCATTTATAAGAAGCATGGCTGGGGTAGTTTAGTTACAGCAACCCAATGGATTATCAGAAGAGAAAGAGGAAAGAATAGGATCTGACCCTAAATCCTTACCAAAATGCAGGCTGTATGTCAACTTTACCTACCTCAGCTTTTATATGTCCACCCTGTCCACTCCTTGGCCTCATCAGCAGGTGGAAGATGGTCTATAACCCAGCAGGGCTAGCTGATCAGGAAAATGTGGTAAGAAGGTATCACAGGTATTGCGGCTCTCTTCACTGATCCTGACCCTAACTGCCGGCCCTGATAGTGTGTCCTTACCAAACTGAAGAGATTTCACAGGCAGTTCTTCCAGTTTCCATTCCTGGCTGGATGCAAAATGATAGCAAAGAAACTGTAATATTTGGAGGGGGGGAAGAGGGCGGAAGGAAGCCACTTTTGAATCTTCTCAGTCAGATCATTCAAGGAATGATGGATAGTGAAAACAGCACACAACAGAAGGACTGAGTACCAAGCAGAAAGCTGTTTTTAAAAAAATCTGAAAGCTGCTAAATCTATTGGCTCACTGGGAATAAAGCTCATTATCTTATGAGACATGCCGTATTACGAGAGCACTCTGACAGCCCGAATGCAAAAAGGATGAACAAGCCTAGCTGGACCCAGATCCTATGGTCTGTGCCTTGCACTATCAGTTGCTATGGTAACCACAGTCAGATGATGTTGCCGTGCATGGGACTAATATCTTCCATGGGAAGCTTGAAACAAGCAGAAGAGATACGATTGCCACCTCTTATTCATGGAGAAAATGTACTCCACAAAAACTGATTTGCCATTGTGTGGGTGTTCCCACTAAAGCCAGTGAGATGTTTTTACACACGTCTCTTTGCCCAACAAAAAGTGGCCTGTCCTGTATTTGAAGAACCACATCAAATTATTTCCAGGCTTCTAACTGATATTGCTTTTAACATACCATATTTTCACTAATATTGAAAATATTGAAATCAAATGACAAAAGGCTTTTCTTCTGAAATGAATGCAGTGAAAAATTACAATATTTTTGCTTTTCTTCCTCTTCTTTTTTCCTAGCTTCCTTTCGTTTGCCAGTCTGGAATTTCTGTAAAATGTCTTAGAACTGAAATGAATTCACACCAGCAAAAACCAAGAAAAAAGCAAATTACAGCACTTTCTATATTTCTATCACATTGGTACTTCAGAAGTTGGAGAATATTTTAAAAGACATGAAATGGAAAAAGACAAAAA